TAACTACTGAACCATGCATCCGATTGACTTGAAACTTTGGTATCCATGTAGAAAAGGCATGTACTTAATGGATAGGCTACTATTTATATGAGTGTTGGACTCTCTACACCAGTTGCGGGGGCATCAATGAGCATCTTTGTGGGGGTGAGAAATAATAATGTTAATTTTAAATGCCCAGCGAAGCGGACGGATAGAGCTAGTTCATTCTAAATGTTTTTTCATTAATTTTATCGTGTTATGGGCATGCAATGCGTAGAGAGGAGACGCACGTGACTAGGAGATGTATGGTAATGGTAGTGCAAGGTAGGGGGGGAAGAGATCAACCGAAGAAGACATAGATGGTGTGTGAATGACGATATGTAAGAGAGAGGAGTGAGTGTTGAGATGACGGCTGATAGAAGAGAATGGAAGAGAAAAATTAGCTGTGCCGACCCCACCTAGTGGGATAAGGTGGAGAAAAAAAGAGAGAGAGTTCAGTCAATCTATACAAGAAAAATGTTTTTTTTAAAACTAAAAGATATCAAAGGTTTTATGTAAAAATTACATAAAAAAAGGTTTTTCTTTACATGTATACATATATAAATTATGTAATCTATAATATAATATACCTATATAAAAATGAATTGCTGTTCGTTAGTCTCGCTAAAACTCGAGAATGGCTGGACCGATTTGGCTAATTTTGGTCTTGAATTATTTGTGAAAGTCCAGAGAAGGTTTAAAAGGTAAATAAATATGAAAATACTCGGAATTAAATAAAAATAACAATTAAAATATTAACAATCAAAATGCTAACTCGCCACGGTGTGATGAAATGCCGTAATTTTTATTAAAAAACCATTTGTTTTGATTGTTTGCCATTTTAAATATATTATTGTATGGATGGTAGGACCTCTTGGGAGTCCACGTGGGTACCACCGCCCTGCGTATTTCTGCCGTTTCGGTTTGAAGGGTGGGGCAGCCGTTGTACTGTAAAAACTGAGACGTTAAAACCCATATCTCGTGGTATGTGGTGGCACTGACGTTGTAGATGTATATGGGCTCCCGTAACCACTTAACAACAGGTGGGCCGTCAGCTCGTCCACCCATTTAAGCTATAAACAAACAGAAAATAATTGTCGGAGACATTTCCTTAAATGTAAAGATAAGGATAAAGAAAGGATAAATTAATTAAATGTAAAGAAAATTATAACATACATTGATAAAGATATATAAACAGATGAGCGAAAGGGACGCCAGACAGACGAGCGCCGTCACGCGTTACGTAACGATGCGGTTTACCCTCCCGTATGAAGTTATCATTTCAAAAATGTAAGACCACCTTTACCGTTAAATTGCGAAGTAATTACGTTTTACTGGTTTGCCTAAAAATACTCTAAATCATAAACGGGTGTCTCGCGATAGTAGATGCGACACAAAAAGAAAAATCAAACGATATATTATGGTAACTACCGTCAATTTTAGAAAATGTATTACGCTATTGCATAGCTTTTTAAGCTTTTGTCGTCAAGTCGATTTTCACTTTTCATTTGTATACCTATTCAGCATCTTTTTTTGCACACTTTCCTGACCAAAGAGTACTCATAAATAGTTTAAATTGGCTTTCAAAATGTCATCATCATCATCCTAAATCTGTTTTCTGTATTGTTGTGAACAATAATGTGTAAATAAATAAATTATACGTGCTATTTTAATAAAGCGACCATCTTTATTTCAAGTCGGTTCAAATAAGTTTTTTTTTTTCCTACCTAAGTTGGTAGCCTAGAGAGGCTATTCCAGTGGAACCTTAACTAGTAGGTGAGCTCACGGGGCTCAAACCTGACGACGATGCTAACACGAACCCTAGCAAGAGTCGTGCTTCGCAGAATCTACCACCGGATCGGAAACGCGACCCACTGAGAAGATCCGGCGAGAAACTCAGTGGGCTGTGTCTGAGAGTTAAATAAGCTATTAACTCTCCATCAAACTATCGTTAAGTTAAATCGATAGCTAATCGTAAATCCTCATTAAGAACCAATCTACGCGCCTGACCAATTACATAAAGCAATATTAATATCTAATGAAAACGATTGCTATTCAGTGATAGCTGACCTAGCGCAACCGTCTTCTATAATTCGTTATTCACGATAACAATTATAATAATATGAAGATAGTCCAACCGTGAGCATTGGAAAACTTTAATTTAGAAACAAAAGACATACCTCAATCTGAATTCTAAAAATGGGAGATTTTGTTTTAGAATTCGATACGTCATAAAATAAATAAAATAAAAACTGTTTAAGTTAAATAATAACTGGACGATGACCGAGTTTCGCTTGTTTTTTTTTTTTTTTTTTGATAACTTGTATTTTTTAGAAATTATATTTAAATACGAATTACATATTGATAAAATGATGAAATATTCCAAGATCCTTTAGGCATTTTTAAGTGAACACGTGAGTTGAAAAGACACAAATAATATAAATAAACAATTCATTTTCTTTGTCTAACCTTAAACCAAACACTCATTGGCTTCGGGTTGCTTAACAACGCCATCTGCTGAAATAGCTTTAGTGTTATTGGGTCTTGCTCTCAATTATAAAAAATAGTTTTATTATTCGCCAATAGATGTCGGGAAGAGTCATAAAGTTGATTATCGAAAACACGAATAAAACAACATTTTCTGAAAATAAATCGTAGCTAGATCGATTTATCGCCCCCGAAATCCTTAGTATACTAAATTTTATAAAAATCGTTGGAGCCGTTTCCGCGATTCAGATTATATATACAAGAATTGCTTGTTTAAAGATATAAGATAGCTATATAACTATACTACTGTACTGTTTAATCTATATATATATAAAAGAAAGTCATGTTAGTTTCACTATTTATAACTCAAGAACGGCTGAACTGATTTGGCGGAAAATTGGCGAGGAGGTAGCTTAGAACCAGGAGAAGGATACTTTTTGTCACGTTCCCATTGGGACGTGTCATAAAACGTGGTATAACAAAACGCAACTGACAGCTAAACGTAATATATTCTATGGTTAAATAAAGTAGAATTTTGAAGTTGACCAGTTGATGTGTTTGAAACAAACCGTGTGGCGGAACAAAGTTCACCGGGTCCTCTAGTTAACTATAAATAAAAACTGTATAACTGTAACGCGAAATTAAACCTTAAAATAAATTTTTCAATTAGATCAGAAACGACATTGCGTAGTCTAATTAACCACCACTTTCCGAACGATCTCTCCTATTAGGCGATACGTTATTGATCATACCCAAAGACATTTGCTACCAATAAATTTTCGTACCATCTTGTACAGTGGCGGACAAAAAAATCGACCGCTACCCGAATTTAACTCGTAATCGACTTAAAATACATTAATCCAGTGAGCCAGATTTTCAATTCCCGGTTTTTATTTACATTTTAAACGTGTGAATGTCCTCAAGTGTAATCATATCAAAGGCGTGATCTACGTTAGAGTGCTCTAATTACGATTTCATGGCCTCTCGTACCCTCAGTGGCGGTTGCTAGGCAACGGGTTGTTAGTGCCTGCAATATATGAATTAACATATTAACACCCTTGTAGGTAATGGGTTTTAAATAAATCACTTTTGTACATAATATACTTTGGTTTGCACTTGTTCATTACCTCCCAAATTTTTTAACAAAAAATTATGAACTTTTTTATTTTTATATATAAAATTATATTGGGTAAATATTTACAATTTCCGAGTTTACTCGAGAAACATTAGCCCGATTGATATGAAAGTTTGTACTCATATGAAGGGCATGGGTAAAAGGCAACATGACCACTCCGATAACGTTAACACTAGATAAGTGGCACTGCTAGCAGCAGTTTTTATCTTTCCAATCGTAGGTTGAATTGATATAAAAACCCTACCCATCTTCATAGAAGGTAATGGATATTATGTTATGTTCACCGAAAATTATTTTACGTAGCTCTAGCTTTCTTTATCGTCTTGTGGCTTTTGTGTTTTAAAATAAAATTTAATTTTGTTGCGAATGAAGCCGCGGACCTAGTTTGTGATATATATATATGAATTGCTGTTCTTTTGTCTCGCTAAAACTCGAGAACGGCTGGACGAGATTTGGCTAATTTTGATCTTGAATCATTTGTGGAAGTCCACAGAAGGTTTAAAAGATAGATAAATATGAAAATGCTTGGAATTTAATAAAAATAACAATTTTGTTTTCCCTTTGATGTGTCCCCCGTCGGACGGATTCCTTTCGTTTGTTTTAAGTTCATTTTATACAAAAGCTTAGGTCTTTTATTTATCGATTGAGGCACTACGAAGTCTGCCGGGTCAGCTAGTCTTATATAAAACGATGTGTCTACAAATTTCAGTTATCTTAGGAAAACTAAATATGACTTGACTTAAGTTAAGTGCTTAAGCATTCTTCGAAGCCTAGATCTGTATTATTTTACATCTATATCTATACTTCTATACTAAAATAATAATAATAATAATAATAATGTTTTTATTTCAAGTATCCATAACTCATATAAATTGTTAATAAAGAGGAAAGATTTGTTTGTTTGTTTGTTTCGAATAGGCTCCGAAACTACTGGACCGATTTGAAAAAATATTTTTCCATTAGAAGCCGACATTGTCCCTGATGAACATAGGCTACTTTTTTTTATTTTTTTTTTTATTTTTTTTTTTGGTTTCATGTGTGTTTTAATGTTTCCGAAGCGAAGCGAGGGCGGGTCGCTAGTCTCAAATAAACGTTTAAGTTCTAAATTTAAGCTAAACGATAGGTTTGGTTACGTGACCAAATCCTCTATCGACACGTGCAGGCTTGAATTACCCATTAGTGACGTCACCAGCTGGCTTAACTGATCGCTTACGGCGCCCGTATTCAAAATTGAACATTACGTCACACGCTTAAGGTACAAATCGCTTAAGTGGACCCTCTCTACTGCAAATAGGATTTAGTGGAAAATGACTAGAGTTTGCCTTTTCTGATCATCGAATACAAATGCAAACTTTTACAGGTTTGGACAGAAGAAAAAGAATGTCAGGGAACCGGGTCATCATCACACAGCATTTCACGGAGCGAACCATCACACCCGGCGGTGATGTAAGTATGGTGATGAAGATTTTGAAGATTGAAGTCGTCGTGGCCTAAAGGATAAGACATCCGGTGCATTCGTGTTGAGCGATGCAACGGTGTTCGAATCTCAGGCGGGTACCAACTTTTCTAATGAAATACGTACTCAACAAATGTTCACGGTTGACTTCCACGGTGAAGGAATAACATCGTGTAATAAAAATCAAACCCGCAGAATTATAATTTGCATAATTACTGATGGTAGGACCTCTTTTGAGTCCGCACGGGTAAGTACCACCACCCTGCCTATTTCTGCCGTGAAGCAGTAATGCGTTTCCGTTTGAAGGGTGGGGCAGCCGTTGTAACTATACTTGAGACCTTAGAACTTATATCTCAAGGTGGGTGGCGCATTTCCATCCAACTAAGCAAAAAAAATATCTGTTTTTATTGCGCTTGTAGGAAGACGAGTGTACGACCCATCTGATGGTGAGTGGTTACCATCGCCCGTGGACGTCAGCAATGCCAGGGATAAAGCCAACCTGCTACCTGTCGTATACACATATACCTATGCTCTATATTTTTATTTTAAAACAAGAAGACAGTTGCTTCGTACTCAGAAGTCGAAAACACTAATTACAACTTTTCCTTAACTTAATAAAGCTGAATAAATAGTTGAGCATTTATTTCAGATCAGCATGCAGTGCGCAGCCACTGGCGATAAGCCCCCGCAGTTCATTTGGGAAAGAGACGGCATTGTGGTGTCAAGCAATACAGATCCCAGGTCAGACCTTAATAATTATCTAAAGAAGTTTAAACTCAAACACTTGCATAGCATTTACATTTACAATCCTCGAAATAAATAAGTAAATAAAGTATTATTATTATTATTATTAAGCTTATTATTAAGCACAGTCGTCCGAATCCAAATTAGGATTCCCTATGCTATGAGAACCAGAAACTGTCATACATAATTATATGCCTTTAAATATATACATAGACAGAAAACACCCAGACAAAGAGCAAACAAACCTGTCGAGCACACGAATGCTATTCCGATGTGGGAATCGAACCAACGACCCTCGGCACAACAGTCAGTGTCTTTTTTTTTTTTGCTTAGATGGGTGGACAAGCTCACAGCCCACCTGGTGCTAAGTGGTTACTGGAGCCCATAGACATCTACAACGTAAATTCGCCACCCACCTTGAGATAAGTTCTAAGGTCTCAGTATAGTTACAACGGCTACCCCACCCTTCAAACCGAAACGCATTACTGCTTCACGGCAGAAATAGGCAGAGTGGTGGTACCTACCCGTGCGGACTCACAAGAGGTCCTACCACCAGTCTCTAACGACTGTACCACCAATTCAGTTGAAAGGCCTTAAGGTGATAAGGTTTATAATTCACTACACACACTGTTATATAACAATCAGCTATGGTCTCTACTAGAGTCTACCTGTGATCATAGCATTTACAATACGTCGAAAATTAAATGTGAAAATCATTATACAATCCTTTTGAATAATTGCGTGTTCAAAGCATATAATCGCAAAATTTTAGACCAAACTTTGACTTCTCAAATAGAACCTTTTATATTTAAAGCTTTATATGGAACTATAATAATCCCAGTGAAGAAAACAATGCTTGATGTGATTCAACCGTATTTAGGATAAGTAAAACTTCAATAAATATGCGATACACACATTAGTGTCGAGTAAGAATTAGAGCCCATATATAAAAACATGGTTTTTTGACAGATTTTGGGCCAGGCTTGTATTTATGTAGACTAATATTAATAACTGTGCCTTAACCAATTTGCTGTAAATTATGTTTAACTAAAGGAAGCCAATTAAAAAAAAAAGCTTATTTCTAATTGTAAATAACCAGATAGATGCTTTGGATGCATCCTCTTTTAAGTATAGTACGTACATTTAAACTGAGATTTAAACACAAAATATATATTCCATGATTATCTTTTGGGAAAGGTATGACTAATCAAATCGCACTACCAGTATTCTTACTTCATTTTTCTTGACTAAGTCCTCTGTTTCTGTTCCTACTTCCTATCTTTAATGGTAGATCATTTGGTGTGTCCAAATGAATTGAAAACTCCATCTTACTAGTTAGGGTTGCTCCAAACAGCTTCAGCTTAAATTCTCAAGTTTACTTTCTATGAGATTTGCGACTTTTCAACATTAGGTAGACTGTATTTATATCTCGCCATATTAGCTAATAAAGAAAATAGGCCAAAAAATAGATATTTCATAGAGTTTATTTTTTACAAATGTGAAATCTATAGTTTTCGATTCCAGATATGCTTTAGGACAAGTCATGACATCAGACAATTCGGTGATCGCCCAACTAAATATAACAAGAGTCAGAGTCGAAGATGGAGGGCTTTACACGTGTACCGCTAAGGAAGGAGAATATAGTGCTAGTCATGAAAATAGACTGGATATTTATGGTAACTAAATGGTTTTATGTAAATTTGCACTGTTCTGTACTTTACTTCGTTTCATGACTTTCAATATTATATTATATATATAAAAATGAATTGCTATTCGTTAGTCTCGCTATAACTCGAGAACGGCTAGACCGATTTAGCTAATTTTAATTAATTAATTAAATAAAAATATGTAACAATTTTGTTTTTCCTTTGATGTGTCCCCCGTCGGACGGATTCCTTTTGTTTGTTTTAAGTTTATTTTATACAAAAGCTTAGGTCTTTTATTTATTGATTGAGGCACTACGAAGTCTGCCGGATCAGCTAGTTATATTTATAAATAAATTTATACTCTTTTTTTTTGCTTTTTTAATTACAATTACTAAATATGGTACGTGTTATCAACTAGTCAAATCATTTTATTCTACTGTTTCATTATTCTCTTCTTAGAATACCTCTAAACATAAAATCGTAACTGCTTTTATTTGTGTGCTATCCAGGCCCACCATATATCAGATCCCTGCCACCAATCAAAGTGCAGAGCGGAGAATCGGTAAATTTAAGATGTCCATACTACGGATATCCAATAAGGTAAGCTGGAATATTTTACTCTGCATTTAATGTAATTTTACTTAACTCAAGGGAACAAATAAGAAAAGAAAAGGCCAAAAGAATAAATTCACATTAGACTGATGAATTGAAATAAATCTAAATATGCTTCTCAATTCAAGCCTCCATTAGATAAGTTACAGATTTCGATGGAGGAATATAATCAACATATTGCAGGTTTAAGAAATTAATCAATAAATAATAATTTAAATTTAATATCCACCAGACCGTTTCAGAATATGTCTAAATTCCACCTGTCTAAATTAATGAAAGTGTCTAGCCTAGGTTGAAAATACACAGGATATATCTCTGGTAATATTATTATAACTGTGTACGTATTAATGTTGTAATAAAACAAAGGATTTTGTTACAGTAAAATCGATTGGGAACATCAAGGCCAAATCGTCAGCAGCAACGGCCTCTTCCAAAGCAGATACAAAAGGTCAATAGCCCAACGCCGCAAAATCAGGAGAAACGCACCCACCGTCAACATTCATGGCATACTCACCATCTCGGAAGTCGACAAAGAACAAAGCGGTGCTGTATACACTTGCATCGTGACAAGTCCGTCAGGGGAAATGGCCAGAAGGGCTTTCGAGATCCAAGTTATCGAAGCGCCAGTTTTAGATGAACTGCTTTTGGGAAGCAACCTGCAGGAGGGGCAGATAGCAAACATTTACTGCAACGTCAGGACTGGAGATTTGCCGATACACTTCGAATGGTTGAAAGACGGGAAGAGAATACCTAGCAGTTTGAAGGTTAGAAATAGATGTTATGAACGACATACAGCCATTAACTGCGTGCTAAAATCTTTCCGTTCTATTGTTTGTCATGTATTTTTCATAGCGTACTAATTATGAGTATTAGCGTTCAATTTTAAGACATTTTCTAATATACACTTTTTTATTCAAATAAATAATATCCATTTTCATTAAATTAATGTTTTCAAATATTTTATGTCTCTTGAATCTTTTTAGAACGAAGTTCTTTATGGGATAATGCGGAGGGGTACCCTAACCGGGAAAAAACGTCCGTAACGTAAGATTTTTATTAGTAATGCACACAGTGTACGACTTAACTTTATAATAACGTACAAATTAGTAATACACACAGTGTACGACTTGACTTTAAAATAACGTACAAAAAATTACATATTTTATATCATTCATTGACCACGATTTCAGAGCGTTCGTTTGCGCAATACACTAACTCTTATGCAAACAACTGTGAATGAAGTGTACCACAATAAGTTCGCACATTACCGAATGACCGTGGGTTGTTGCGAAACCTCCAGTTTTATTTTCTTTGTACCTCGAATAGAACTTAAAATTAATATTTTTATAATAAGGAATTTCGTTCCTATCCGGTGTCCCACGACACCGCACATCTTTTTTCTTTGCAAATCTTTGGTAGTGCAAATGTTCAAAAGAGAGAGGACCTTAATTAAAATTAATAGCACTAACTAATTTGTAGGTGGCAGAAAGAAACTCGGAGCTTTTCAGCGCCCTGGTAATCAAGAAAGTTTCTTTAGAGCATTGCGGTACTTACACTTGCGTCGCTTCGAACCACGTAGCAAAAGTTAATCGATCCACTGAGCTTTATATCAAAGGTAATAAAAATCATTATGTAATGAAACATTTTTCAATCTCTGAAAAAGTATTCTATCCACATCAACAGAGTGTTAGGACGAAATTACTTTTCAATTGAAGGTTATTGTCTCAATTGAGTACAAGAGTAGAATAGATTCTAATTCGGCTGTTCATAGGCATAGCTAACGGACGTAGCCTTGGCACTTGTGACCAATATTTAGCTAAATAATGTTTGGAGCTTGAATTAACGAATCTAACCTCACCAATAAATAATTATTTTACAACCTTTCAGTTGCTCCGAAATGGTTGGAAGAGCCATCAAATACATCATTACTTCTCGGCAGGAAGGGAGCAGTCTCGTGTAGTGCTAGCGGATATCCTCAACCACAAGTGCATTGGATGAAAAAGGACGGTAGGAATTTAAAAACATTTTTTTTCACAGCTAACCTATTTTAGAACTATCTATATATTAATACGTGAAGCAAAAACTTTGTATCCTTTTTTACAAAAATTGCGCGGGCGGAGGAGTATAAAATTTTCCATACTTATAGAGAATATAGAAAAGAAGTGCACGATGCTAATATATTTTTTAAATAATGCATAAAAGATACTTTAAATCAATAAAGAAAATATTACACACACTACATACCATGTATTTGACGCAACACGCATGCATACTATTTATTTATTGTCAAACTTTTGTTCTTGACGTCTGTTGTCAAATTGAGAATAGATTAAATATTGTTTCTTTATTAATATTTGTTTAAAGTGTATTTTTGGCGAAGTTTGTAATTATAGAAGTATAATAATCTTTGAAAATCTTTGAAAATAGAATCATAATAGTGTACAAAGCTATAATTTCAATTAATTATAGTCGAATTTCGACTACTGGGGGACTACTAGTCCATATAATTTCTCTTATACATAATTATGATAACCAAACTTATTATGAAACTGTTTTAGCCATAGGTAATTCTGAAACAGTAAACACTTACATAATGTCGATAAGTGACTTCGCCGTTTTTTTTTATTGCCCTTGTAGGCAGACGAGCATACGGCCCGCCTGATGGGGCGTGGTTACCGTCGCCCATGGACTTCAGCAATGCAAGGGGCTGAGCCAAGCCGCTGCCTACCTTTTTTCTTTCTGACGCTCTTTAACAATGTTTGTCAGTGGTTTTTGGGTAGCCAATTCTTCTTTCTATTCCAGCACTGTTAGGAACGTGGCAACCAGTTTTGGAGCTAGCTGGCGGTGGAATACTCAACCTTCCGAATGGCACGCTCGTTATTGAGGACGTGTCAGTCACGGACGAGGGTTTGTACTCGTGCAATGTTGAAAATGGCGTCGGCCAGCCTCTAAGCAAAACCATTTGGATGAGCGTGAACAGTAAGTACCATTTTTTTATTGCTGAGATCGGTGGACGAGCTCACAGCCGACCTGGTGTTTAGTTCTCACGGATCGTTTGGAACCTCTGGGTCTGCGGAGGGACTTCGGTTCCCTCTGTATTTTGTATCGTATGTTCCATGGGGAGCGCTCTGAGGAATTGTTCGAGATGGTACCGGCATCTCGTTTTTACCATCGCACCGCCCGCCACCGGAGTAGAGTTCATCCATACTACCTGGAGCCACTGCGGTCATCCACAGTGCGTTTCCAGAGATCATTTTTGCCACGTACCATCCGGCTATGGAATGAGCTCCCCTCCACGGTGTTTCCCGAGCGCTATGACATGTCCTTCTTTAAACGAGGCTTGTGGAGAGTATTAAGCGGTAGGCAGCGGTTTGGCTCTGCCCCTGGCGTTGCTGAAGTCCATGGGCGACGGTAACCACTCACCATCAGGTGGGCCGTATGCTCGTCTGCCTACAAGGGCAATAAAAAAAAAACGTGGTTACTGGTGACCATAGACATCTACAACGTAAATGCGCCACCCACCTTGAGATATAAGTTCTAAGATCGCAGTATAGTTACAGCGGCTGCCCCACCCTTAAAACCGAAACGCATTACTGCTTCACGGCAGAAATAGGCAGGGCGGTGGTACCTATCCGTGCGGACCCACAAAAGATCCTACCACCGATAATTACGCAAATTATAATTTTGCGGGTTTGATTTTTATCCCCGTCAAAAGTTCAAAGTTTCGCACTATGCCATAACATGATCTCTAATAATATAGAGGTAAAAGATCTCGTGGACGAAGCCTTATTTATGCGCTGGACTGATCAAGTGAAAGACCTTACCAAAACCCGACTTAACGACTGCGTGCACCAAGCCTCAGTTCACAAACTATGGAGAACAGCTGTCAAGGCTTTAATAAACAAGGAGTCCACATGACCACGACGTCTTTGCCAAAAGTAACTGACTATGATGATTAAAAATTTAGCGTTCTTTCACATTTTCTATCTGTGTGATCAGAAAGGCTATTGTGTTTCCCAGAGCCGGTCCATTTCGACTCATCATCCTCAAACGTGACGTCACAGCTCGGCCATGCAGTCTCGCTGCAGTGCAGAGCTCTCGGCGACGACCCTATCCGCATTTCGTGGACTAAAGATGGGAAGATCATTAATCTTCAGAATCAGAGGTATGTAGGTACCTAAGTCAAATTATTCAGCGATGTGAGAATCCTTTTAGGAATCAATAAGTAAGTAAGGAAGCTGTCAAAATACAAAGGATGATGCTATTGAAATATAAAGTTGCAAGAAAGAGACTATAAGATTTCCTCACTATAATTACGTCTTAAAGTTACTGTTATTTAAAATATCTCTTATTTGAATGTTATATATATACATATTTACTTAGATGGCTGTACGAGCTCACACCCCACCTGATGTTGGGTGGTTACTGGAGCCCATAGACATCTACAACGTAAATGCGCCACCCACCTTGAGATATAAGTTGTAAGGTCTCAAGTATAGTTACAAGGGCTGCCCCATACTTCAAACCGAAACGCATTACTGCTTCACGGCAGAAATAGGAAGGCTGATGGTAGCTACCCTACAAAAAAAATCGGTTTCCAATCCAAGATTTAATGATACGTAACTATTTGGTCTTACCATATATGTGCATATATTTTTGGATATTAAGTGCAAAGTGGATCTTATGATATGTTTAATACTTATTGCCTTTTGTTTCAGATTACAGCATTTGGACTCGAAGGCAAACCAAGGATTGGAAAGCACCATCAATATTCAATACTCAGAGACGACTGACGCAGGGCTTTACCAATGTCGAGCGAATAATCCATACGGTTCTGCGATTTTTAATATACACCTCACGATATTGGGTGAGTTTGTTTGTCCAAATTATATGCTGAACTCTTTGATATCTAAGGATCTTAATGATCATAGTCTATTCGTGTATTAATGAAAGAACTCAATTCTTCTCTGTTAGCTGTAACAACATCATCATCTAAAACCTCGTACCTTACTTCTCAAATCTTATCCATATTCCTCCTCTTAAGCAGCAGTGTTAGGGCACTATTCGAACCAGACTCTGTAGTTTTATAATACTACCACTTAACTTCAGGCGCATCTAATTTCAGTTAATAACTAGCTGACCCGGCAGACTTCGTAGTGCCTCAATCGATAAATAAAAGACCTAAGCTTTTGTATAAAATAAACTTAAAACAATCAAAAGGAATCCGTCCGACGGGGGACACATCAAAGGAAAAACAAAATTGTTATTTTTATATAATTCCGAGCATTTTCATATTTATCTACCTTTTAAACTTACTCTGGACTTCCACAAATAATTTAAGAACAAAATTAGCCAAATCGGTCCAGCCGTTTTCGAGTTTTAGCGAGACTAAAGAACAGCAATTCATTTATATATATAGATAGTTTCAAAAGTAGTGCCCAGAGCAGGGATCATTATATTTTTTACTTTTATAGGCAGATGAGAATACGACTCATCTGATAGTGAGTTATTACCGTCGCTGATGGAAGCTTTAGCAGAAGCAGAGCCAAGCCGCTGTCTGCCGTAAAATTATATGATACTAGGTGACCCGGCAAACTTTGTTCCGCCTTAGAGGCATTAAATGAGCAGACTTTAGATTTTATCAAGGTCAATTTTTTATTTGGATAATTGATGTAAATTACAAAGCAAGTATTTTAATGATTTATGATTTAATTTATTGGCCATGCATTTTAGTTATTATTATTATATTTTTATTTTTTGTTCTTCTTCAGTAATTTCACTTGCAGTGTTTCGAATTCTAGTTGCATTACGGCTTCGTCGGGAAAGATTTGATCGTGTTGGTCGCGGCATGGCTTTCTTAATGATTACCTATCTCGGCACAATAAGCTAATAGAAACTCGAAACAAACTCATCAACCGGTCAACTTCAAAATTGTACTTTAATTAACCACAGACTACATTACGTATAGCTGTCAGTTGCGTTTTGTTATACCACGTTTTATGTCACGTCCCACGGGAACGTGATAAAAAGTATCCTATGTCCTTCTCCTGGTTCTAAGCTACCTACCCACAAATTTTCAGCTAAATCAGTTCAGCCGTTCTTGAGTTATAAATAATGTAACTAACGCGACTTTCTTTTGTATATATAGATAAACATCAGATGCTCTTTCAACTGATTCGCTGTCATGACCTTTCTTTCAAGAGCCACCGAGTCCACCTGCAGAAGTTCGCGTAGAAGCAGTACGCCCTCGAGCCGCACTCTTGTCGTGGCGGGACTCTGCAAGGTCCTCGGTCGCGAACTACCTCGTCCAATACTGCGCTCTGAATTACGACCACGACTGGGATCGAGCAATCACCATTAATCACACTCGGTATGCTTTGATATATTTTTTCTTTTTTTCTTCTTCTTCTATTTCTATTTCTATTATAATATATATAACCCTTACCATAAATTAAACAAGTAACTTGCAATAAAAAATATTATGTTTGTAAATTGAAAAAAAAACATCCCTATCTCTCAAGTTACAGGAACAAAATACGTATTTTGAAAAAAAAACCATTGAAATCGAATAGATAGTTTCAGAGTATATCGCGGCCAAACGTCGTGACACGTGACTTACATATAATAACTAGCAGACCCACACGTTGCTGTAGCTAAGGTTTTTGTTTCTAAATAACACGTGGCCGGCTATGCTAATACCAAAAATTAACAAAGTAGAACAATTGCGGTAGGCAGCGGCTTGGCTCTGCCCCTGGCATTGCTGAAGTCCATGGGCGACGGTAACCACTCACCATCAGGTGGGCCGTATCCTGGTCTGCCAACAAGGGCAATAAAAAAAATTGGATTTCACTGTATTGCGTTTACTACGAAATAAATTTAACTTATACTTAAGCCTCAGCAACACGTGTGGTTATGCTATTAAATTGTAGCTTATATGACACATTTGTAGGTTTAACATAGCAGCGCCATCTATTGGTTACTTACTCAGTCCAGTCAACAGATACCGCCATCTGTTAAAATCGTTTGGACTTAACAGATAATTGTAAATGTCAAATAATAGACAAATAATTTGCAATAAAATAATATTGCGGCCATAAATTATGATGTAAGCTATCCTATCTTTCAAGTTGGATCAAACTGCACACGGTGTGCAAATTTAATTTAAAATCGGTTAAGTAGTTTAGGAGTCCATCGCGGACAAACAACGTGACACATGACATTAAGATTGCAACACGTGTCTCCTTGTAAGCCAAGCACTATGCTAGGCTATTATTGAGCACATTGAGTATAACTTCCAGCAAAGACCTCGACATCCGCCAGTCTCTAGAACTACAGAATCTTCGGCCAGCAACGTCATATGCAGTGAGGGTTGCTTCAACGAACCAAGTCGGCATCAGCCAATACACTGCGCCACTGCACTTCACAACCCACGAAGAAGGTACATGCTTAACAAGATCACTATGGGGTATATAACGGGTTTCTCAGAATGTTTTTCGTTTTTAACTGTTAAATAAAAAACAATATTTATTAAAACTCGTTATAAAAAAACAGTCGTTTGCAAATGCGCACCATTCACTTGTTCACACTCATTTAACCTGGAGCTAACATTTTCAAGCACTCACTGGAGCATCGTTCTTGGAATAAGAGTTGATTTCTTCTGTGATTCTTTGCTTCAAAAAATTCTGTTGAGTGACAATGGATTGTAAGCTTTACTTTTTAGGTAGCCACATAAGAAAAGTCAGCAGGCATTAAATCAGGGCTCCTCGGTGGCCAGTTGATGTCCCCTCTGCGATTTATCACTCTTCCAGGGAATAAATCTTGAAGAGCAGCTAATGAGTCATTTGTAAATGAGAAGTGGCTCCATCTTGCTGGAAAAAGGTGTTGTGATTATAGCCATATTGGTTTTGCATTTCGGTAACCAAAAAAGTCCGGATCATATGGCAGTATCGAGTAGTCAATTAAAAAATGAAAAACATTCTGAAACACCCTTTACCTAGAGAGGATTACGAGGATTACTAGACGATGGTCTTTAATCGTTTGCCTCCTCATCAAAACTAAAAGGCTTAATGTGGAACAAGACAAAGACCATATAGTTTATCATATTTTTATCGTCTCTATTTTATTGAAGAGCTTTATACGACTTTTTTTTTAAACCACGTAAAATGGAATGTTAGTAAGTCTACTTAAAAAAAGGGTGTCTTAGGTTTAGTGACTGTCCCCCTGGTGAAGGTCAAGGGGCGACCTGAGGGGATCGAGGCCACGCGGCGCGCTACCAGCACTGTAGCGCGCTGCCGAGGAGAAATAGCTTCTAGATAAAAAGAGCAACCGGTTGGCGGTGTATCGCGTCCCGACCCGGCAGGCTGGTTCTGGTCCAGCGGGGTATTCGGGATACCAATGGCACCGTCTGGGCGCCCTGACGGGCTGCCGTACCGGACATCCTTGGGGTGAGCTGCGCCCTCTGGTTGTAGTGTTGACCGCAGTAACCTCATCCGGGTTTTGACCTCGGAAGGGATCGGACGCTTAGGTGATGAGTGCAGGGTAGTCGTTTAGTGGATAGGGTCAACATAAACATCCAACAACAACCAACATAGGTAAAACATCCTTGGGCCCGCGGTCTCGCAGTTGCGGACCAGTCCCATGTACTCCGCGCGCCCCCTAGGCGCGGGAACCTCCTAGAAGGTTCGGCGCCCAGTCCGAAAAAAAAAAGGTTTCATGACTGTAATATCAATTTCAAAATGTGCACTTTCAGTTAAAATTTTGAGAGTCTAAGAGGTTTCTTACTGCCGAAATGGGCTATAGAAATCAGCAAAAAAACTAGCTTCACTACCTGGATTTGGCATGCACTAAAACCCTCTTGTGTTTCCAGCTCCTACTTCACCACCGGTAAACGTTCAAGTGGAACAAACCGAGAATCCCGGAGAACTGTATATCTCGTGGCTACCTCCTCTTAAAGAGACCCATAACGGTATTCTTCTCGGCTACCATCTGAAGGCGGTTGCGCAGATTAGTGGCGCTGGTAATAACATTTATTCTATTCTAGCTTCATACTAACTATTACTAACAAGTCATTTTAACCGACTTCAAAAAAGGAGGCTCTCAATTCGACTGTATGTTTTTTTTATGTTTGTTACCTCATAACTTTTGACTGGGTGAATCGATTTTAATGAATCTTTTTTTTATTAGAAAGCTGAAGCTTCTCGTGTAGTCCCATTTCAATTTAGTCCAGTTCTGATAATGGTATCCATGAGATAGCCATTAAATTTGCATTAAGTACGTGCGTGACAAATAGATGAATAATTCAATAATTCAATATCACGCCAACCGATTTCGATGATTATTATTTTAGTGTATTGGAATATATTTTATGAAGTTATACTTCTTTAGGCACGTTATGAAAAATTGATGAGAGTGAAATTTTACGATGCACGCGCACCGTGACACAAAATTTACGGAATGAAGTTGCCCACTAAATCGCTCATTACAATACGACCGACGTAACTTAGCGAGTCTGAATATAGCCGCAGGTGAACTTTCGCGCATGTACACTCGTAAAAAAAAGTGTTATTAGCTTTCATTTTTTAGTAATATAAATGACAAAATTATTATTTAATATAATTCTTACTAAATATTATTAAATTATCAACGTTAAATATTTATATTATTAATTATTTAATATTAAAAAAAAGAAATAAATTTAATAGAAATAAAGTATAACTTTTTACGCGCGTACACGCACCCTTTTTTTCTATTTGAAGTCGGTTTTTGTTAAAGCATGTCTATCTACAAATATGTTGATGACCTAACGAATTTGCATATTATATCTTTGGTTTTCAGAGGAAGCTGATTCGAGGACGTTGAAGGTCTCACAGTTGTCCGGCAAACAAGAAACCGTTGTCAGCGGACTCCTCAAAAATACTAGGTGTGGCATAACTACAATATAACAAACAAAGCTTACGAGACTAGTTTCCAAGCCTGCTAAACTTTTTTATTTTAACCAAGCAGCGGCTTGGCTTTGCTCCTGGCATTGCTGACGTCCATGGGCGACGGTGACCACTCACCATCAGGTGGGCCGTATGCTCGTCTGCCTATAAACAGCACTAGTAAAATATAATTTGCGTTTGCTATCCATTACTAATTTTAAATATACTACGTACTGCGTCCGTCCAGTGGTAGCTGACTCTTATTATCGAATCATGGGTGACATCAGTTCTCGAGTGGAGACCGCGCAGCGGAAGACGTAACGTGGGACGCCCCCTGGCTAGGTGGTGCGATGACCTCCGCACGGTGGCCGGCAAGAAGTGGATGAGGAGAGCCGCAGACCGGGCTCAGTGGTTTGGATTGGGAGAGGCCTATGTCCAGCAGTGGACGACTGTAGGCTGTTGATGATGATGATGATGATGATGATCAGCATCGCTATTAACGTTTGTTATAAAATTCAAGGTCTCAGATATACTCGTTCTTATCAAATACGAAAGTTGGAAAAAAAATGTGGTAAAAAAAATATTACGCATTTTGTCCATTCTTCTTAACATGGAATCGCCTACATGTGGCGGGATAAATATATTCAAATTCAAATTCAAATTTCTATTTTTATATATGGACTAAAATATGGTCTGAAATAAATGATTATTATTATTATTAGCACAAATATTCCGTGGGAGTCTACTTAAATCTTCAAACGGGTAGTATTTGAACATTTTCTGGGATCTTATTAAAAATGTCAACACATAGCCCACTAAAACCAAATTACTTTTTTATTAATCTTCAGGTATTATTAATAATTTAAATCGCATTACGATCAATTACCGAACGCTAATTTATTTAATAGCCATTAAACTGGTGGTAGGACCTCTTGTACTGGTGGTAGGACCTCTTGTACTGGTGGTAGGACCTCTTGCACTGGTGGTAGGACCTCTTGTTAGTCTGCACGGGTAGGTACCACCGCCCCGCCTATTTCTGCCGTGAAGCAGTAATGCGTTTCGGTTTGAAGGGTGAGGCAGCCGTTGTAACTATACTGAGACCTTAGAACTTATATCTCAAGGTGTGTGGCGCATTTACATTGTAGATGTCTATGGGTTCCAGTAACCACTTAACGCCAGGTGGGCTGTGAGCTCGTCCACACACCTAGGCAATAAAAAAAAAAATAAAAAAACTAGTCGTTCAATTGTAGATTTTACGCTTTGACCAATCTTTGTATCTAGCAAACCTACTAGACCGTGTAGTAGAACAAAAATAACAGTCTCTCTTATTTACAGATATGCTGTATCGATATCAGCCTTCACTAGTGCGGGTTCGGGACCATTCTCGTTACCAGTCTTCCGAGACACGAGAGAAGGAGGTATGTAATCATCATCATTCTCCTGCCATGCTCCCAGTCACTTAGGGTCGGTGCAACAGGTTTTGCTTTCCATACTCCTCTATCACATACTATCTCTCCACTCTCTCCCTTCTTACCCATATCGTCTTTCACGCATTTTTTCTTAGGCCTAACTTTTTCTCTAAGACTTCCACATTCATAGTTATAACTCTCTTAACAACCTTATTATTTCGTCTCATAGCATGTTCATAACATCCCAAACGCGCACTTGTCAACTTCTCCGTTAAAAGTTATTTATTTTTATTTATTGCTTAAATGGGTGGACGAGCTCACAGCCCACTTGACGTTAAGTGGTTACTGAAACCCATAGACGTTTACAACGCAAATACACCACCCACCTTGAGATTTAAGTTCTAAAGTCTCAGTATAGTTACAACGGCTGCCCCACCCTTCAAACCGAAACGCATTACTGCTTCACGGCAGAAATAGGCAGGGTGGTGGTACCTACCCGTGCGGACTCACATGAGGTCCTACCACCAGTAAAAAAACTTACACTTTATTTAGCTATCGTCTGTTTTATTCTAGCACCGGAGCAGGCCCCGTCTTCGGTGGAGTGCACGGCTGTCTCTCCCACCTCGCTACGTATCGGCTGGCAGCCTCTGATGTCACCGGGACACGGCAGCTCTCTCGTGGGGTACACTTTGCTATATGCAACCGAAGGTTAGTAAGCAATTAACAATGGCCGAACCGCAGCGCACTGTGAGTGATTTAATATGACTAGTGGTCCCGCTGTAGTCGAAATTCGACTATAATTAATTGAAATTATAAATTTGTAAATTATTATGATTCTATTGTCAAAGACTATTATAATTCTATAATCACATTATTTACCAAGACTACACTATAGACAAATAATATTAAAGATAAACAATATTAACCTATTCTCAATTTGACCACAGACTTTAAGCAATAACAAAAGGTTGACAGTAAATAAAGAGTATATATTATTATATGTGTGTGTGTGTATCAAATACATGGTAGTGTGTGTAATGTTTTATTTATCGATTTAATGTATTATTAACACACAATTTAAAAAAATATTAGTATTCTGCACTCCTTTTCTATATTCTCTATGTGTGTGAAGTTTCATACTCCTCCGTCCGCGCAATTTTCGTAAAAAGGGATACAAAGTTTTTGCTTCACGTATTAATATATAGATTTCGTATTTTCTTCGAACTACACGAGTAACAGACATAATTAAAATCATAAACTTGTGCAAGTGTGGCCATAGATATAGCATTAGCTGGAGATCCACAGTCATCACAACATAAATATCTCCTCTTGAAACATATGGGACTAAATAGAATGAACTCCCCTCCAAGATGTTTTCCAATCGCCATGCCATGTCCTTTTTTCAAATGAGGCTTGTGGAGAGTACTCAATGGTAGGTACCGATTTGGCTATAGCATAACGTCTATAAGCGACGATAATTACTTACTATGAGATGTGCTGTATGCTCGTCTGGCCTACGATGGCAATAAAAAAGGTTCAACATTTGAATTGCGATGGCGATGCTGGTAATTCCTATCCACGCGGACCTGCACGCTTTATCACCAGGAAAATCCAATGAATTGCAATAATGTTTAAGAAAATTTTACAATACTGTTACTATTTCAAGGTTTATTGGTACGCTTACATTTGTATACTCCACATACTGCTACATACTCATATTACCTGATATTAGAATTAAAAAATATATATATATTGTTACGCGCTGGGGTTCGGGATAAATAAAATTTCACCAAAGTACAACTAAAACCTGTATTCAACACTTAAACACTTCACAAATACTTCAAAACAGACAATTCGCTTGTTCCGCTTCGCTTCAGGTGATCCGTTCGCTGCTTCGCTTCGAGTAGTTCCGATTACTGACTCACTGCGTGCCATCTCTACAACGCTTTTATAGCCGATAACTCATCCCTAGAATATTCCATACATATCTAGTAGTAGTTTCCACAATCTGTCAATAGATGGCGTTGTATTTTTCGAGCGTTCTAGGCGCTTCTAGTTCCTTCGATATTCGTTCGACTCGTTACTCTTACCGGCGTAACAATATAATTCATCTACTGTCAATCCTTACAGAAATAAACATTAAGAAATATTTTTAGAAGGACCTTGGAACAATGTAACTTCACTCCACACCGAGATTTATCTTCAATCGCTGCTGAAGTACACGAATTACACCATCAAAGTGGCCGGCTTTTCCAACTACGGAGCTGGTCCTTACTCGTACCCGATCGTATGCGCCACACTTGAGGATGGTGAGTTAAAGGGAATTTTAGTATATTGCAAAAGTCAATTGACGACAGAAATAAATAAATAATAGTTAAAAAAAAAAACGCTTTTATAGAAAATCCGACACTACTTTTAATTGAAATTTATTAAAATTTATTTTCTATTTTTTAGTTGGATTTTCTATAAAAGTGTATTTTTTTTGTTTTTTTAAACTATTATTTATTTTTCATTTTTTAGTTGAATTTCAATTTTTTTCCATTTTTTTTATATTGAATTGTCATCGATCCTTAATAAGTATGCCAAATTTCGAGGTAATCCGACGTCTTGAAGGGGGTCAAAATCATGTTCAAAAATTTCGTTACAAACATACATACGTCTGAAGCTAATAAAAGCGTATTAAAAAAAGAACTTGCCCTTTCAAAACTTCAAAATTTCACAAAACTACCATTTACATCAACACTACTCACCTTCCAGTTCCGGGTCCTCCGCCTGGCATCAAAGTGCTGGTGACATCAGCCACGTCACTCCTTATCAGCTGGAAAAGACCAGACCAGCCCAACGGTGAGATTCTCCACTTCACAGCATACATCAAACCAACAACCAGGTAGTTAACAGTGTTATTCTGTACTTATTACTTTTCAGATAGTGGTAGGGCATCTAATTTTTTTACTGCTTAGATGGGCGGACGAGCTCACAGCCCACGTCGTATTAAGTGGTTACTAGAGCCCATAGATATCTACAGCGTAAATGCGCCACCCACCTTGAGATATAAGTTCTGAGGTCTCAAGTATAGTTACAACGGCTGCCCCACCTTTCAAACCGAAATGCACTACTGCTTCATGGCACAAATAGGCAGGGTGGTGGTACCTACCCGTGAGGACTCACAAGAGATCCTACCACCAGTAAAGACCAGATCTAGATTTTAGACAGTTTGGCAATAGTTCTGTATACCTAAGAACAGAAATATATTCCATTCGACTTTAAAGCACCACATGCAATTAACAAATTTCACAATCCACCACTCAGCAATGGTCCACCTCAGACGCACGTCGTTGAAAGCTCAAAGACCACAAAAGAGGTGCGAGAACTCAGGACCGGATCCTCATATGAGTGCTGGGTCACAGCTTCCACCCGAGCCGGGGAAGGACCCCCTAGTAGAAGAGTTTCACACACGCCAACACATCGAGGTGAGGGATTATAATTTCGTTACCCAGTAACCAGTTCTCTCTCTCTTTATAAACAAACAAAATAAAAACGCGCTGGTCTAATCGAACTAAAATTTAATATCTTTTTTTTTCCAAACTTAAATTTATTAAATTACTAGCGACCCGCCCTGGCTTCGCTTCGGAAACTGTAATATATTATTGATTTCTCCACTATTTAATGGATGTTATTATACATAATATAAACCTTCCTCTTCAATCACTCTATCTATTAAAAAAACCGCATCAAAATCCCTTGCGTAGTTTTAAAGATTTAAGCATATATAGGGATATAGATACAGGGAAATCGACTTGGTTTTATACTATGTAGTGAAGGATCATCTTTTTTATAAATTTATTTATTATAAAATTTAACTTTTTTTTATGTATAGGATAAAGTTAACTGGTGTTTTCAAATTACAAAATTAAAAAGAAATATGTAATTAATCTAATTGTTTTATTTTTTAAATAAATAAATAAAAACGAGAAAAAATTAATCCCCTAACTTGTTGTTTATTTATTTTATTTATTTATTTATACTTTATGCACAAAACAAAACTTGTACACAGGCGGACTTAATGCCATGGGCATTCTCTTCCAGTCGACCATATGGTGTTTAGTAATCGGTTCTCGATTAGTATGCCAAATTTCCTAGTCCACCGTTTTAATGCGGGTGATAATTACATGCAATGATTCCGTTACGTTCATTTCTGTTATACATATACAGGGGAAACTAATAAAATCATAACATAACAATTTCCTATCTCTTCTATGTACTAGATAGATAGAGATATCGATAGACAGAGATAGAGATAGTAGACAGATAAGACGGTAGTTACAACCTTTTCTACATATCTACATCTATGGGTGTGATATGAATTCCAGTGGTAGCGGGTGTGTCGTCCCTAGGCGGGGTGGTGTCGGCTGGCGCTGGCAGCTCGGTGCTGCTGGGATGCGCGTGCGTGGGGACGCCGGCGCCGCGCACCGTGTGGTACCGACACCACCACATCATCACGCACCACCCCAGATACACCAGGAACCATGATGATAGTCTGCTCATTAACAGTAAGATCATTATCAAAACACCATCCTGCCTATTTTTGCAGTGAAGCAGTATAGCGTTTCGGTTAAAAAGCTGGGGTAGCCGTTGTAACTATATTGAGACCTTAGAACTTATATTTCAAGGTGGGTGGCGCATTTACGTCGTAAGTGTCTATGGGCTCCAGTAACCACTTAACACCAGGTGGATCGTGAGCTCGTTCACCCACTAAAGCAATAAAAAAAGAAGAAAAAAAGAACTTCAACGGCCAATGCGCTGAAACTTCCCCCTGAGCAAGAATCATTAGATCTTCTCTAGATTATGACAGCAATCCTTTTTTCCTTCTGGTGAAACATCATCTTATATTTGTATCGGTCTACCTCGAGGTCAATTGACCTTAAAAAAGAGGGAGAAGAATCTCGGTTCACATTTTAACCCAATCATTTAATTCTCACAGACATAGATCAGTCTTTAAGTGGGAACTACACCTGCCTGGCCAAGAACCTCTACGGGTCTGATTCCGTTGAGTACAATGTAATTGTGCTACCTTTGCCTGAAGCGCCAATTCTGAGGGCTACACCATACAAAGACTCAATTTTAGTAGAATGGGAACAACCTTACTACATCACCAACAGAAGTTCCATTCAAAAGATTAGTAAGTACCGAAAAGCTATCGCATGTGGTACGCTAAGCTTCATAACCTCTAAAACTTGAGATACAATTTCAGGTTACAGTCTCACGTGGAAGGAAGCAAACGGTCAGTGGCAGGAAGCGTGGCAGGCTAACAAGATGCCAGACTTATCCACAGTCCATAAGTACTCCTTAAAAGGGCTCAAGTGTGGTACAAAATATTCTCTAAGGATCACAGCTACAAACAAAGTTGGTACATCACAACCGGCGTATTTAGAAGTCAGCACGTTGGGAGGAGGTTGGCTATCAACTTGTAATAAGATATTGTCAGAATTGAATTACCTTTGAGCTTAATAATTTTGTTGTTTCAGCACCTGTAGCCCCATCTACGAATGAATGGCTTTGGAGCAATAGCTCCCATATTGTGGTGCAAATGGCTGGGTGGGAGTCAGCCGGCTGTGAGCTTCGAACTTGGGAAGTTGATTACAAAGCTCTCGGAGCAAGAACTTGGATACGCACTAGAAGTAACACGGTATGCAGATACTGCTTATTGGTATACCATTAAAAGACTACATGTAATCCTTGCGGCCATATAAATGTTAACACCACAAGTCTCTTTCGTTTACTTCAGTGCTGTCAGAGTCGGTATCTGTCGGAATTATTTATTATGACTTCAAGATTTTTTTTAATGCCCTTGTAAGCAGACGAGCATACGGCGCACCTGATGGTGAGTGGTTACCGTCGCCCATGGACTTCAGCAATGCCTACCGAAAGCCGAAGAACGTTTAGCTTAGACATCTTGCATTTTTTTTAATTTTTTTTTTATTGCTTAGATGGGTAGGATCCATTTTGGTGCTGTATTAGGGAACGCTCTGAAGGATTGTTTGAGAAGATTTTGTCATGATGTTATTACCGTTGCACCACCCGTCATCGGAACTGAGTTCTTTTTTTTATCTTTTTTATTGCTTAGATGGGTGGACGAGCTCACAGCACACCTGGTGTTAAGTGGTTACTGGAGCCCATAGACATCTACGACGTAAAGGTGCCACCCACCTTGAGATATCAGTTCTAAGGTCTCAGTATAGTTACAACGACTGCCCGGCCCTTCAAACCGAAACGCATTACTGCTTCACGGCAGAAGTAGGCAGGGCGGTGGTACCTACCCGGGCGGACTCACAAGAGGTCATCCCACCAGTAAATAAATACGTTGCAGGCTGTAACCGACAGTTGGAATATGCTGTACCAAGATCCAACATTTCGCTCCGGCTCTCTGGCCATCGCTGGCCTAGCTCCTGGTACTTGGTACCAGGTCAGAGTGACGGCCACCAACGAAGCCGGAAGCGTAACCTCGCTTTATAATTATGCAACAAAGAATGAGGACGGAAGTATGTATTTAAAATTTTATGACCGAAACAGTATAAAGCTGATACAGAGCTTAAAGCATTCACTATATATGAGTCGACTATTATCAAAGCCGGCAATCTGACTTTTGGACAATTATTGGAAAATCAGAAAAACGAATTATTGACTTTGTATTCCATTGGCAGTCACAAAACTCTTCTGAACGACATCTTAGATAAATAACAGGTTAAGTATTAACCTTTATTTAATGCAGGTTTTGAACCGTATTCTTTGAAGGAGACGATTATATTCAAATCAATCTGTATTGACATATCAATAACATTTTTTTGTCCAAATGCACAGATTGCCACCTTTGATAATAGACGACTCATATAGCTAGCTAGTATGTACCTTTTGACAAGAAAGCAGTTTTGGGTACTGATTTCCAAGTATTTCAATGTTTTTTGCGTTCTTTAACATTTGATTGTGTTATTAATTTTCACCGACGTCAAGACGAAAGATTTACTTGAAAATTTGCACACGCATCAAGGACTAACATCCTGACAGTATCAACGGGATACAACGATATAAAATGATTGTTTAGTATGTATGTGTGTGTATGTATGTATGTATGTATATATTTCACTGGATTGGTACACCGCACGTAATTCGTTTCCAAATGATTCTTGTCCAGCTGATGGTTATCTGGATGAGATCGCTATTAGCGATAAGACCGCCAATTGTACTTTTTTGTATTCAATGTTTCGCATAGTTTATTATTTGTTGGTTTTTTTTGGTGAGAAAGAAAAAATACTCTCTCTTTAGTTCGGTTTGCTATTTAAGGATGTTCTTATAGTTTATTATTAAACTATTATACATTTCAGGTGAAATCGGCCCGCCCTCAGATCTCTTTGATCTGAACATGCTTGTGATAATCTGCAGCTCTATACTACTGACAGTGTGTCTTCTCGCTTGTCTCTACATTTTAATTAAAAGACGAAGGTAATTTTTTTTACATAAAATCTGACTACATTTATTATGATTGGCTAATCAGCTGATATTTAGATATTTAAACGGACTTATAGAATTTCACTGAGTTTTTGGAGGGGATTGACTGAATCATCGGTCTCTTTCCCGCACAAGGAGTTTTGGTTAAGAATCAATTTGTTCTAGAATACTCTCTATCTAGCATGAATCAAATTCTATGAAATGTCTGCATTATCGACATCAGTAATAAATTTTGTGTCCCATCTTCCAGAAGCGGCAACCTAACAGAATACAGGGATTCAATAACGAATGACAATAAATCTGACAACGGCAACCTGACGGCCAACACTTCGCATTCGAATCTGGCCAACGTGAAAGAGAATCCTGGGAATCCACAAAACAGGATATACAGTGCACCGATACATATGAGAAACAACAGTAAGCACGGTGAGTTGAATAACGTGCGCTTAGAATTACATTATTTTTGGAATGGCACACTATCTCGGTTCGTCTTTTAATAGATTCTATTGAGATAACTAACGCTTTGGTAATATTAAGGTAACTAGTGGTCCCCCAGTTCACGTCATTTCGATCCTCCCGATCCACTAACGGTGCTTTTAGGTACCCCAAGCACCGGTCATCGTTCTCGTCGAACCCGTCGCTTGCGACGAAGGACTCGGTGAGTAAACTAACCCATAGACAGAGCCCACTGAATTTCTCGCCAGATCTTCTCAGTGTGTCGCGTTTCCACTCCAGTGGTAGATTCTGCGAGAAGCACTGTCCTTGCTGGGGCCATGTTAGCAACGTCGTCAGGTTTGAGCTCCGTGAGCTCACCTACTTGTTAGGGTTACACTGATGATAGGTAGGGAAAAAAGTCCCCCAGTAGTCGAATTGAAATTATAAGCAAGCATATCCTGAAAATGTCGTAAGCAAGGTTCAGGCATCTGTCAAATATCTTGTGTTCTGTGATGGCTATCGCCATAGTCCGCCTTTGTGGTTGGTCCTGTTCATAACACACAATTAAACCTTGGTCCGTCAGATGTGGATTTTTTAAATCAACTTAAAATCTTTTGTGTTATTTTCAGAACTATACGAGATAAGTCCGTACGCGCAATTCGCAGTTGGCTTCCGGACATTTGGACATGTTGAGAATCAAGATTTACCAAGTCGGGTCAAGCCCAGATACGACACGGGTGAGCTCAATAGTGTTAACAACGTTGTTCACGCATCTGCAATGCTGAGGATGTCGATTCGTGAAATTATTGTATCTGTATTTTGTTATTAGTATTATTATATTGACTAGAGGTCCCGCAGCAGTCGAAATTCGACTATAAATAATTGGAATTGTAAGTTTGTACACTATTATGATTGTATTTTATACTTCTGTAATCACAAATTTTGCCAAGACTACACTATAAAAAATATTAACAAAGACAAACAATATTTATTCTATTCTCAATTTGACAACAGACGTCAAGAACAAAAGTTTGACAATAAATAATATGCATGTTTGTGTGCGTCAAATACATGGTATGTAGTGTGTGCAATATTTTCTTTATTGATTTAATGTATCTTTTACGCATTATTTTAAAAAAAATGGTGCATTGTGCACTTCGTCTTTATATTCTCTATAAGTGTGCAAAATTTCATACTCCTCCGTCCGCGCAATTTTCGTAAAAAGGAATACAAAGTTTTTACTTCACGTATTAATATATAGATATTATTGTGTAATTTTTCGCGACCATTTAGAATCGAGCTGTGTGTGACGCTAGAAACGCGTGCCGTTGCTATTGGATAATTGATATTGGTCCCTGACACCCCTATACTATTATAAAACTGTAAGATTGCTAATTCAGAATACACACGCCAACGGATATCTCAAAAAATAAACATATTTTAATTTATCCGAAAACAGTCCTCAAGTCCAAAAGAAAATAATATCATTCAAGTACAGCATATCTATTGCCGTTACAAATGTGTTTTCAGAGATCATTGAACCCAAGCATCATTTGGCTCAGACAATGAGCGTTTTTCTAAGCTCTCTGACTTGCCTTGTCCCGACCCAGTCTTGATGCTTTTAGGCACTCCAAGCACCGGTCACCGTTCTCGTCAAATACGGCATGCGACTTAATGCACCGACAAAACCCACTGAGTTTCTCGCCGGATCTTCCCTGTAGTTACGATTAGGATCCGATGGTAGATTCAGAGAAGCACTAACCTCGCTAGGTTAGCAAAGCCTCCCAGATTGAATCCCGTGAGCTTTCCACTAAGCTTTGCGTAGCTGAAATAGCCAGCGATTACGTAGAAAGAAAAAAAAAACTTGCGTTTCAACTTATATGCTGGGAGAGTTCTCAAAGATAGGTAGTGGGTCGACTGTGTTTTCGGTATTGCTGACAATGACCATATACTTTCAGGAGTTTCGTAGGCATATTCCTATAGGCAAAGAACAAAAAATATATATCAAAAGATCATGTATCTAATGAAAGCTATCGACGATAACAGAATTTCCAACTAAATTGAAAAGTAATTATTCTAATATAATATAGTAAAGTAATGATATAATGATTCTTTCAGAGACGAGTTTCCAAGTCTGTTCAGAATCCGAAGACAGCGATAGCATATCAAAATCCACGTTAAAAAGCGTTCCAAGGAGTAAGTATGTTAATGTAGAGCAGGATAGAGTCGCTAACGAGCTTAGCGGTTTTTCACTTAACATTTTGCAAATGAAGATAGACTATACGACCATCGGGGCTAATAGACATCACTGATGTTCAACTATAGTTTCTAACTTAGAATTCCCCTCAAAACTCGTTTGAAGACCATACCATAGCACTTTGATGCTAAAGGAAGTCTGAAAGTGGCACCTGTGACAGAGAAGTTGAGAAGTGCGCGTTTGGGATGGTATGAGACGAAATGACAATGAGATTGGTAAGAGAGTTTTAACTATGAATATTAGTTTTAACTATGGCTTTAGAGGAAGAGTTAAACCTAAGAAGAAATGGTATACGATATAGGATATAGGAGGATAATGGATGATATAGGAGTATGGAAAGATAAAGCATGTTGCGCTGACCCCAGGTGACTGGGAGAAGGGTAGGATATTTTTTTTTATTGCCTCAATGGGTGGACGAGCTCACAGCCCACCTGGTGTTAAGTGGTTACTGGAGCCCATAGATAACTACAACGTAAATGCGCCACCCACCTTGAGATATAAGTTCTAAGATCTCAGTATAGTTACAACGGCTGCCCAACCCTTCGAACCGAAACGCATTACTGTTTCACGGCAGAAATAGGCTGGGTGGTAGGTAGTACCTACCCGCGCGGACTCACAAGAGGTCCCTGATAAACACCATAGCAAAGAATTCATTCCAGAATCACGAATTTAACTAAACGGGTGAGTTCACCGCCGTCCCACTGATCTTTGAAGCCAATGTACGTGACAATGGCGATGCATCGAACACCATAAAAATAGTTATTCGTAGTAATTAGAATTCTTATAAGCGGAATGTTATAATATAATTTAAATACGTAATTAAATAAAGATGCAATTGCAAAATTTAATCATGTTATAAAATTAATTTAACTGAATTAATGGGTCCACTAATATTCATTAAGTTATGATTCATGTTACCAACGAATTAATTAAGAAAGATGAATTGAAAATTCCTCTTATAGTTCCATTGGTATTGTACTGTTACTTAGACATTTAGTGTCTATTTCTTTTTACTAGAGGTCCCGCAGTAGTCGAAATTCGACTATAATTAATTGGAATTGTAAGTTTGTACACTATTATGATTGTATTTTTATACTTCCATAATCACAAATTTCGTCAAGACTACACTATAAAAAATATTAACAAAGACAAACAATATTTAATCTATTCTCAATTTGACAACAGACGCCAAGAACAAAAGTTTGACAATAAATATTGTGCATGCGTGTGTGCGTCAAATACATGGTATGTAGTGTGTGTAATGTTTTCTTTATTGATTTAATGTATCTTTTTTTGTATTATTTAAAAAAAAAATTAGCATTGTGCACTTCTTCTCTGTATTCTCTATAAGTGTAGAAAATTTCATACTCCTCCGTCCGCGCAATTTTCGTAAAAAGGGATACAAAGTTTTTGCTTCACGTACTAATTTCTTTTTATATACAATAACTACTAAGACGTGAAAATCTATTTGAGGCTATATAATTACCAAAATACCCTTAAATAGTTTGGAAAAATATTTGTATTTAAGACTTAGGCCACCTATGCTGCTATGAAAAGGAGATTTCAAAATCATGTCTCAAGATGGGAGGTGGCATTTACTTTGTTGATCTCTATGGGCTGTGGTAGCCATTTGACACCAAACTTATTGCTTTATTGTCATCATCATCATCATCATCATCATTAGCTCACAATCGTGCACTGTTGGACAAAAAAGCCTCTCCCAATCCATATATATGTACCTAATAGGCTTATTGCTTAAGTAGCAATAAAAAAGATAGTTGAAGTCTTTCTACATTTTTATATAAAACCAATACCATATATAAGAGAATACAACCTGCAACCACAACTACAACATAAAATCAAACCTGCAAAATTATAATAGGACCTCTTGTGAGTCCGCGCGGATAGGTACCACTACCCTGCCTATTTCTGCCGTAAAGCAGTAATGCGTTTCGGTTTGAACGATGGGGCAGCCGTTCTAACTATACTGAGACCTAAGAAGTTATATCTCAAGGTGGATGGCGGCATTTACATTGTAGATGTCTATGGGCTCCAGTAACTACTTAACACCAGGTGGGCTGTGAGCTCGTCCACACCCGTCTCAGCAATAAAAAAAAAACAAGACTAGGTATACCATTAAAGACCAATATTGGCATAGACATGGTCGCTCACTATGAACAAATGCCGCGTGAAACCTATCCATATATTTTCATTAAGCAACCGGGGTTTTTTTTTTTTTTATTGCTTAGGTGGATGGACGAGCTCACAGCCCACCTGGTGTTAAGTGGTTACTGGAGCCCATAGACATCTACAACGTAAATGCGCCACCCACCTGGAGATATAAGTTCTAAGGTCTCAGTATAGTTACATATTGCGGTATTACTTCAGATATTGATCTGTTACAGAAATATGCAGAACTCCGCATCGCAGATAACTGATTACTGCAAGATAAAAACGAATGGACCACACTAGAAGGATAACTGCATACGATTAACGATTAAAATTTAATGTGTTATTCAATCATACGGCTCTTTTATGAATGCACTTTCCTATTGGACTAAGAGCCGGTCAATTGGCTGTGCCGATATAAGTATGCGTTAGATACAAATTGGTGGCACCAACCCGCCTGGCCTGATCACCTGTGACATATATATCGACGCTTGAAAGGCAAACGTGACTAAGCGACAATGAACTTTACAGTAAACTAATTTAAAGTTGAAATACCTGAAACAAAAACTATTTTAATGAATCTAGCTGTAGGGATGAAATGATTTTAATAGACCTAGAAATATATATTTTTTTGCGCATCGAATATGGTTATTGCCTATCATTTATGTACAAAGCAGTTATTGTCGCTTAGTCACCTTTGCCTTTCAAGCGTCGATATATTGAAGATAACAGTTAAAGGAAAAATACCACAAATAAGGACACTGACTTAAAATTTACAAGGCTATTGTAAGATCAAAGGAACTCAAAGTATTATCAAAATTTCTTTTTTATTTATTGCTCAGATGGGTGGACGAGCTCACAGCCCAACTGGTTGCTAAGTGGTTACTGGAGCCCACAGACATCTACAACGTAAATGCGCCACCCACCTTGAGATATAAGTTCTAAGATCTTGTATAGTTACAACGGCTGCCTCGCCCTTCAAACCGAAACGTATTACTGCTTCACGGCAGAAATAGGCAGGATGGTGGTACCTACCCATGCGGACCCACAAGAGGTCCTACCACCAGTAAAATGCATCGATGCACTCAAATGCATCGAGGTGTTGACTCCGAAGGAAGGGTTAAAATTTTTGCGATTTGTTTCCAAAACATGATCTTAATAAGATATGAAAAAATCAAAAGTTTTTTTCTGTCAATGCGTATATACAGGGTGTACTAAATATGTACAATATCTAAGATTTCCCCATTGATAGAATAATATGCAAATTCATTGCATCCAAAAAAATCTTCTCAGGTTATTCGTTAATGTAATCAAATGCGTGTTCATATATTGTTCAGGAAAATTCAACATAATATTTGGACTTTTCTTTCGTAGGCTCACGGTTCACTGATCAATAATTTTAATTAGTTGAATGAAATTATTGAACGAATAACGATTGAAAGGTAAAATGTCAATGAATAAGGAAAACAAAATCACAATACCCGTAAATGCAGCCGAGAGAACCTCTGAATGATTCCCTTAAAGCTGAGGTCGTTGATCTCGTAAACGTCAAACACACGTGGACCAATTGAGCACGTGCCGCGTGTTTGATAAAACCGACTTAGTAACTGATTAACAGCTATACCATTGTATGGTTTATTATATAAGCCGGTTTTTTATAAGGTCTTATAGATCGATGAATAGCTGCACGCACGAAAAAGTGTCACGTTCCGCCTGAGCTTGAGCGTGCAAGCGAGAGCGCGGAACAACCGATAGAGAGGCACGATCGGCCCAAGCGATAATTTATCGAAAACATTGTAAATTTCAATTAAATCCTTCCTTGTATTATATACAAAATAATGATAATTCAGTGATAATAATTCATTCAATAAAAATAATAAAAGTATGCAATTTTTCATCAATATTTATTTAGGACGTTATTACGTAAAACTATCGTCCGAAAAGCTGATTTCCAAACTGTATTATCACATTTAATGATTTACGAATTTTAGAAGGAATCCCCTTTACTTTCAAACACTTGAGTACATATGTATGTACATATGCGTATTACATGTGAACATGGTTTGGCACACCCTGTATATAGATAAGTGAACGCATTACGCCAACAAGAAATCTAGTCGTGTAAATAATTTTTTTAGATATAAATCTGTTGATAGTTGAATTTGAAATGCGAAATTCGAATTTTTATTGTATTTGCTAGAGGAAGTTTTCTAGCAGATAATATGCTAGCCTAAATTATTATGAGCGAGATAGCTATAATATATTAGACAAAGAGGGCAATAACGAAATACTGGTACAGTTTTCAAACAAATAAATAAATATTAAAATATACATCACTATTTTACTATTGTGCCAATATTAGATTGGATTGGACCTTCTAGATTCGATTGGAGATTGAGATTGGATTATCGGTTGGACCTTTGCTAAATATATGTAAATATTTATGGATTCATGCTACAGGCCAGTAGCAGTAGTCGATTTTCCAAGCACATTTAAAAAATTACAATAAATTTTATTTTTGTGAGCACGCAATGTACAACAAAAATCACTTGCGGGGTCAATGTACTCCTGTGTCGCAATGGAGCTACAATTAATATTATTTCGAATTTCACATTTTGATAATATAGTATAATATAATAATAATATAGATGTATTAAATAAATCGTTTAAGCTCTTTAGAACTAATGTTAAATTTTAATATCTACATAAAAAGACTGATTTACCATCTAATTGTTTTGTTCTATACATTTTTGTTCCGGATATAAATAAATGTTAGATTTAATCTAGATTTTGTTTGATTTATGACTTTTTTACCTTTATTTATTTTATTTATTTATTTATTTATAACTTCTTATACTATAAAGTATAAAGGCGGACTTAATGCCATAGGCATTCTCTAACAGTCTACCTTAGGGGAGTGCAGAGATGAAGCTTGGTAGGTGTAGTGTGAAGGTGATATTACTGAAACATAATAATATGTGTATATATAACATACATAATATTTATAGATACAAATACTCGTACTTAAATANAGGCGGACTTAATGCCATAGGCATTCTCTAACAGTCTACCTTAGGGGAGTGCAGAGATGAAGCTTGGTAGGTGTAGTGTGAAGGTGATATTACTGAAACATAATAATATGTGTATATATAACATACATAATATTTATAGATACAAATACTCGTACTTAAATAAATACATATACATAAATATATAGATATACATAAATATTTTTTTAGCCTTTTACGAAGTCACAGATCCCCTCATGTTCAGTGATCCCAATAAACCGAAATGCATGACCGCTTCGTGGCAGAAATAGATCGCTCAGATCGCAGACTCATTCAGAAAACGCCTTTGAAAAATATAGCAATGTCAAATATTATACCCTAAATCACAAACTGTTAGATGCCTTGAGGTGTTTGAGTAGGGCCCTTGGACCTTGAACCCGCGGTATGTTCCCGACATCAGCAGACCATCAAGTCCCAACACTTTTGAGGATCGCCCCCTTGATAAACAAAAGGTAACTCGAAGTGTAGTCACGAGTAACCAGGATAATGCTGGTAACAAATAAATTTAAGTTAAGGTGGACAAACAAACGTTCAATAACACTTCATCACTATCATCAGCCCATAGACGTCCACTGCTCGCTGTAGACCTAAAAGACTATGCCACTATGATATGTCCTGCGCAGTCCGCATCCAGCAGATTTCCGCTATCTTTAGCAAGTCAAGTTTTGATGTCGTCGTGGCCTAACGGATAAGACGTCCGATATATTCGTGTTGCGCACAATGCACCGATGTCATCTCAGGCGGTTACCAATTTTTCTAATGAAATACGTACTCAAAAAATGTTCACGATTGACTTCCACGGTGAAGGAATAGCATCGTGTAATAAAAATGTAACCCGCAAAATTATAATTTGCGTAATTACTCTTGTGAGTCCGTGCGGGTGGGTACCACCGCCCTGCCTATTTCTGCCGTGACGCAGTAATGGGTTTCGGTTTGAAGGGTGGGGCAGTCGTTGTAACTATACTGAAACCTCAGAACTCATCTCTCAAGGTGGGTGGCGCATTTACGTTGTAGATGTCCATGGGATCTAGTAACCACTTAACACCAGGTGGGCCGTGAGCTTGTCCACACATCTTAGCAATAAATAAAAAAAACATCAGCCTACCTTGTGGCAGGTCTTAAGATGTCTTGACATCACTCACGACATCAGAACCATTTGCCCTAATCACTTAACCACGTAACCCATTGAGCTAATTTGGCTATCATGGTCCTACTGCGATTCTCCTGATTCGAATCAGGTCAGTTTCAGGAAACTTCAGGATACTTCAAGCCCTCTCCGCTACTCTTTGAGTGTTCTGTAAAAACTGAGACATTAGAACCCATATCTCAAGGTGGGTGGCGGTATTTATGTCATAGATGTCGATGGGCTCCGGTAACCACTTAACACCAGGTAGGCCGTGAGCTCGTTCTAATATCTAAGCAATAAAAAAGAGTGACCTAAGAAGAACACATCATTGGCTAAGATATAAATAAATTTGGAATAAATTAATTATAGCACAGTCGGTAAAGAGGTGTGGTTAAATTTATGTATTTCTCGGATAAATGCATTCCTGATCTCATTAACTTGTGGTTTAGTGTTCTTGGAATGCAGCATGTCATGCGCGATGGTCGTTCCAACGAAATTCTGGCCGTCTAGAGATTAAGGTCATTGCATTACTTGCCATTCATCTATATGAGTCAGATAAATTTAAAATAGCATGTGAATTTCTGCAAATTTCAACTATTATCGTCTAAGAACGGTATTAGTATCATTGTGATGGTGTGATCAATTCTCCATCCCATTCCGAATTCTTACACCTTTCCAGACAAATTTTTGTCTATCATCCAGCCTTGGGGTGAACTTCCCCCCACAGTGTTTTTTTTTATTTATTGCTTAGATAGGTGGACGAGCTCACAGCCCACCTGGTGTTAAGTGGTTACTGGAGCCCATAGACATCTACGACGTAAATGCGCCACCCACCTTGAGATATCAGTTCTAAGGTCTCAGTATAGTTACAACGGCTGCCCCACCCTTCAAACCGAAAGGCATTACTGCTTCACGGCAGAAATAGGCAGGGTGGTGGTAACTGCCCGTACATAACGCATGCGCGTAGTATACCTGGTACAGGCCAACGCGAATGTTAGCAATTTAAAATATACCTATATAATAAAAAATTTGAAGTTGTCGCATCTCTTATACACAGCATTCCCTATTAAAAAAGCAATCTGATTTAAGGGTGAAAAATGAAAAAAACTACAATACTACACATCTAAAACGAAGTTTCACTTCATTCACGTACACCAAGTTGCACGCGCGCCGTTTTTTTTGTTTGTTATCTTCTTCAAGTAAAGTTTGAGAAGAAGGTTTGAGAATTAAAACTTACCTGAACCATACAATTTAGAG